GAAAAGCAAACTGGGAGGAGGGGTGGGCAGGGAGGACATTGTGCAACAATGAATGGCTGGAAATCCAAAGTCTCTGTAAACTTTCACTAAAATAAAAAAAATGTATAGAGTCTAGGTTTATAATTTGTGGTTGTCGTTGTTGTTGCTGTTGTTGTTGAGTACCACTTAGCTGGAACTGACCCATAGTTGACCCTCCAGCGAGTTTTCAGAGGCAGTAAAACTGTACAGGAGGAGACTGCCCATTTTTCTCCCATGGAGCAGCTAGTGGACTCCAAAATTCAGTTGTTAACACATGAGGCATTGTTGTTGTTGTTGCTAAGTGTCACTGAGTTGCACCTGACTTATAGCTGACTCTCCAGATGATTTTCAGAGGCAGTAAGCCACAGAGGAGGAGACTGCCCATGTGTCTCCAATGAAGCAGCTGGTGGATTCGAACCACATGTCTTTGGGTTGGCAGTACAGCTCCTTACCATTAGGCCAGCAGATCCCCCTTTAAGGATAGTATCCATAATTTATGTCTGAAGTTGCTTTTATAACCTCTGTTCTGTTGGATATGGTTCTTACAATATAGGAGATAATCTGATAAACATTTCATGAATTATTTTTTATTAATAATAATGGTAAAAATGCAAATGCAAACTGTGGCTGAGTCAACTCTAAATCACAGCAACCACATGCACATCAGAGTAGAACTATGCTCCACAGGATTTTAATCAGCAAATGTATTTTTTTCCCTCCAGAAACAGATGAACAGGTCTTCTTTCTCAGGCACCTCGAGATGTATTTGAACTTTCAACCTTATGGTTAGTAGTTACACATGATAGCCATTTATATCTAGAGTTTCAAGAATGTCATAGTGTTTCATGGGCTCTTACAGAGTACCAACTATGGGAAAAGGACAGCCACTAGGCCACCAGCGCTCTCTAGAAATTATGTACAATATTTATTTTAATATTAACAATTCTATGATTTAGGAAATACAGGCTTAACCAGTTTAGATAAACTACATAAGGTTACAAAACAAGTAAAGTGTTTTCAAACTCCCATTTGAGTGTATTTTAGATTGATCAGACCCAAAATTTGGACCCCAAATCAACACTATGTAACTAACAGTGTTAATTTTAAAAAGATATATTCATATTCATTATTAGGTACATTAGTTTCACAAGTGTGAAACAAAGTCATAGACAGTGGCAATAAAGAAAACCACTTTTCAAAATTGCTCTAAAGGACTGAAATGGATTGGAAAGCTAAAATTAAAAATCTATTCTAAGAAACTTTTACCATTACTGTAAGATATAAGAAAACAAACTCTTTGCTGGATTCATTTCTGTAAAAGCTTCTTGAGGACTAAAATGCATTTGCATGTAACAATAGCAAAAGGAGAGTTTAGGGGGTTTGACAAATAAGAATTAAAATGCTGGTGGTGACATTTTTTAGCCCTGTTTTTTATACAGGCTACCTAATCTTGCCAAGCCTCCTCAGTATTCCTAAATGCTATATGAGGATTATAAAAATTAATTTCAGAAAGAATGTAGTCTATTTAAGAAACCACCTGAGTAGAACTGAAGCAACAGCCCTTGGCTTGTCATCCAGTGCTTAACCATTCACACAGTCCACAGATTCCTGAACAGTCCTGCTCTCACTAATTTCTCTCAGAAAACACCCTGACTCCTGACCATCGTGTCATTCCTTACCTCTGCTCTTCCCTTCAGCCCCCCTCCTGTCATTCAACACGGTAGTCATGGCAAAAGGTGTGAGGATGGTATGAAGGGAAAGAAGAGTATGTGAAAAGCTAATCAGGGTATTCAGTAAAAATAATAGGTCTACGAATGGTGGCTATCATTCACATTAATATACTTTTCATGGCCAAGTGATCTGTTTCCTTGAGAGGAAAACAGGGTCAGAGCTGTCATTAATGTTTCCAACTCCTCACATGGTGGCAGAACATGCTATTCCTGGGAACAGAAGGAGAGAAACACAAGTCAGCAACAAGGCTGTCCTCCAAACCCCAAAACATTTCCTATTTCTTAAGACTGACTCCTAAGTCCTTTTTCTGTAATGGAAAGTACTGGCAATCAGAACTTGAAAGTAGAGTTGGATCTGCTCTTTTAAAAGTCTTCCCAGTTACATCCTCCATGCCCACCCATCAGCCATCAGAAAACAAGACCTTTGGAGCTATGGAAACAGTGCATATGTGGTCAGTGTCAGGGACATACAGACTTCATCCGATCATTATCCGTTTCAAGTGTTTTAGTCATGACTGTGGTTTCCTCAAATGTTAATCAGTGATTATATCTCTTGGAAGGATCCCTATAAGAATTACATGGGACTTACTACTTATGGTACATTCAGTAATCTTGGCCAACACAATTCACAGGTATCAAGTCTTCCTCGGGCTTCCATATTTACTGAATTGTATTCATTTGATTGATGGATTCATGGATTGCCAAATAAACAACAAATCTGTCACGAAGGAAGTACAGAGTGCTTCCTAAAGGCAAGCATGGAGAAAATTCATTTTACACAGTTGGATCTTATTTTCAGAAGATACCAGTCCATGGAAAAAGACTAGGGAAGGTAAAGAGTCATTGAAATAAAGACTCTCAATGAGATGGACTGACAAGTGACTGCTGTTAACAATGGGCTTGACTTGAGGCCAATGCAAGCCCCACACTGGCAGTGGCTGCAACTGCTATCAACCTCATAGAGCAAAGGGAAAAGGTGGGGGTGGGGGGGGATAACTTCTCCTCAGGGGAAAAACCTCCTATACCAGCGTTTAAAAAAAAAAAAACAACAACCAAGAACAATGAGCTTGAGCACCCTGGAGACTGTGAGGATGATGAAGACAGGAAAAGGTTTCAATCTGTTACTAAAAGGTTTGCTGTAAGTCATATTTGACTTGATGGCACCTAACAACAATGACACACCTACCTATTCAGAAGTTCCTGGATGATGCAAACAGTTAAACCCTCGACTAGTAACCAAAGTAACTGGTTCAAACCAACCCAGAGGCAAATCAAGACAGACTGATCTTTCTGAATGTTCAAAGCCTTGAAAAATCCAATGATGAATAACTCAGTGTGGGGGGGGGGGAAGAAGAGTTGTACCACTCAAAGAATGGAACCTGCCACTGAACTGTACAGATAGAAACTACTGAGTTAGTGCACATTTTGCTGTGTGTTCTCAAAACCAAAACTAGTAAGATTTGAAAAAAAGGAAAAAAAAACAAATAAGAAAATTAAATGGTTCTTCTCTTCAGGTATGAGTCTGAACAGACTCAATGGCATCTAGCAATAATAATGACTGCTCAGCGTCTCATCCGGAGTAAACCCTCAACAATGATTCATTCCCTGTCCCCTTCCTAGCTACTTCTAACCCTTAACCAGATAATAATCAACATCTTGGAGCCTGCCTGTTCTTTTCTCTTACTGGCACCTGCAACCAAGCATGAGTTGTAAGGGTTAGGGGGAAAATGCTATCTCATTTAAACAAGATACAGAACAGTAATTATCAAGTGATGAGTTAGAGACACTGGTGATTATGGTTGTAACCAAACCAGTGGCCTGAAATTAATTTACAAGCTTTTTGTTTCCTTCGCCTCTTTCTTCTTCTTCTTTTAAAAATATCCTTTAAAAGACCTCTGTGTTATTCTCTGTAAAAACGGTCCCAAGAATTAGACTATTCTTTTCCAGTGTAGGAAAGAGAACACAAAGACACTAGGTTGGGAATTTCTGACACATTTCTAGTTAATTACAGTATAAAAAACCCAACAAAACATTCTGCTATAAAGTCTAACACATTTCAAATCATTATGTTGGAGGTGAACTTTAAGTCAACTATCACATCCTGTGTGATAAACAAAGTTCCTTTGAAGTTATCAAGAAGTTCCTTCCACTGTGTGTTAGGAACTTTTCATGATTTTGTCTCTTGTTAAATAATATCCCTTAAAAATCAAAGAGCATACTCAACCTAATGGATACAACAGACTATACTTAACATTCATTGTTAGAATTGACACATTCAGCCCTGAAAACAAAATTTCATTTCCCTTTTCCTTTTATTTTCTAATTTTACCTGTAACATAGAGGGAGAAAGGAGAGACAGAAAGGGTGGAAGAGAAGACCACAGGCAGGGAACCCCGGACATTTTATCAAAGAAATCATGCAGCACGTTTTCTAAAGAAACACCTCCAATTCTCCTTCCAATAACTGTGCATCATATTCACACATGTCAATCACTATATGACTATCCCAGTAACCAATATATGTATGTATTCCTCTATGTAATTCATAATAGAGAGAGAAACGAGTTCACAAATCCAAAAGGCATCCTCAGCTAGGCTAAGAGAAAAGGGCTCCAGCGGTCCAGGGAAGTGTGCTGTCTTTAAATAAATCTGAAGTGCTCTTGGAATTTCAACACTGGGCCTGCTTTTCAGCAAAATACCACTGTGGCTGCTGCTTTAATTCCCTTTGGGCAATTCCCATATTCCCTTTGGGTTAGTTGTTCCCTGGCTAACTTGGTCTCATTTGCTTCCCAACCTGAAAGGGAAGACAGTGGCTTAACAGGAAGGAGCGAGCGCCCAGCCTCCCGAAACAGGAATCCCTTCCACAGCCCATGAAGGGATCCCCCTCTCTCCTCCTGCTGCTGCTCATCTTCCAGTCTGAGAGGAGCGGGCCAGCAAAGTGATGCCACAGGGGGGATGTGGACTCATCCCAAGGTCTCACCTCCTTCCTATCCCAGAGACCACCAATCCCTCTTCCCTTGCATCCTCCTCCCCAACACTGCAGCCACCGCAGGGGGTTCCGGGGTGGGGTGCGTGGGGGATCCTGGGGGGCGTCCTTCCCACCCACCCTCCACACACCGAATGCCCTCTGGGGAAGGGGCTGCCAACTACTTGCAGGAACTTAGAAGGCAAAGGCGGCCCAAATGGGGCCTGAGCCCCCAAAGCCAGAGACGTAAGAAGGGAGTGGGAGGCGGAGGCGAGCGCGCGGGCTTACCACGAGCACGGGGACCCCGGCGGCCAGCGAGTAGAGGAGCACCGGGGGCACAGCGCTGCTGTCCTCCGGGCCCGGGTAGGGCTTGCGGTAGGCGCTGTCGTGACAGAAGAAGCCTTGCACGTTCACGGTGAACGTGTCCGTGTACTCGAAGTAGTACGCCAGCATCACCGTCCCTGCCATAATCACCATCTGGAAATAGAGCATGCTGCTGGTGAGCGCCGCAGGCAGCCGGGGCATGCACGCCTCCCGGCCAGGCCGAAGCGGCGGACGCCGGGCCCCCTCCCCGCTCCGCCAGGCAGCCTCGGGGGTGCGGCGGGGGTGGCAGCAAGCGGGCTGCAGCCGCCGGAGGAAGAGGCGGAGGCAGGGCCGGGTGGCGAGGTGCGGGCAGCTGTGGAGGAGGCGGCTCCCCCCCGGCCGAGGCCCGCGCCCCTCCCCGCCCCCTGCCCGCTGCAAGCGCCGCCCGCCCAGGCGCGGGGTCGAGAAGGGCGGGGAGTCCCGGTAAGGGAGTGCACGCGATGCAGCAGCAGCAGCGCGGGGTCGAGACCCGGTGCGCCCGGAGAAGGCGACAGAGGCCGAGGGGCAGCAACAGCCGACACCGGGGCACCTGTACCCCTCTTAGGGCTGACGCCAGGAGCTGGAGATGCTCCTTTTGGGAGTAAAAAATATATATATAAATAAATAAAAAGAGGGAAGGGAAGCAGCGGAGATGGAACCTCCCTTCTGAGGCAGCAGCTGCGTGGCTTCAGAGACCCGCACAACGCCTGGGAAAATGGTTGCGAGGACGCGTCTTTGGAGCGCAGACCCCTCCAGGAGCGCTCGGTGCCTCGCCGCGAGTTTCAGCTGGAGCGTCCAGTCGGCGCTCTGGTGGACTCCTCAAGCCCCGCACAGGACACTGCCCAGTGGTGCCTTCTAGGCTCAGTTAGAAACATCATCCCAAAGGATTTTCAGTTCTTGCTTTCCTTGCTTCCCCTCCAGCTTTGCGTTAAAAGCAGGGACCGCCTAGCTCGCTAGTCTGGAAGCTCCATTTCTTGTAAAGCAGCCCTGTTCCTCGTTCCTGTGCTCTCTTGCTCATCTTCTCAGTCTCCCTTTATAAGCTGCTTATGAGAGGAGGCATTGCAGATTCCTGGGACCCAAGAGGTGCCAGCCGCCAGGGAAGGGAAAGGGGGGATCAACCTCATCACGCTAGTCCCTCATTTACAAAGAGCTGCGAGATGGGGAGATTCCCCAGGGTTAGGTGAAATGAGTGCGAGCCGGCAGGGGCTCACACCACATGCATACGAAATGTACTCATACATAAGTCCACATCTGGATGCCTGGATAAATATGTAACTAAGATCTGCATGTATGAGAAACGCCCTTCTGTGATCTCCCTGGGTCCCTGCCGAGGCTCCAGGTTAGGCAACTGATTGACAGGTGCGCCGCCAGGAAGCGGACACTGCTCAGAGCCTCCTCTGTAATAAGCAGGTAAGGAAGTGTGCATGTACAAGGTAATGGGAGAAAAGGTTTCCAGAGCCTGGCCTTTCTCTTTTAAGCAGAGAATTACTTGAGCAGGTGTCTAGAATAATAATTCATTTTACAGAATTGAAGCGTGATGATTTTCAGTGATGAGAGTTTATCAAGAATAACAACCTTGTTAGGCTACAGAGACCATTTAAAAACTTGGAAAATAATGGGTAGTTTGGAGATGCCAGAGTAAGGACTGTGTAAATTTCTTTAATGGAAAATAGCTTATTACAGACATCATTCAACAACTAATTACTGATAGGTTACCGGATAGAAAGCACCATGTAACAAGCCCTATATAACAAGCAACTGTGGGCAATGGGAGTAAACTACTCTTATGTTGACAAGAATCATCAATAATAAAAGTGTATGAAGAAACACGGTTCATTCAGAAATCTTTCTAAGATTGCTATTGTTAGGTGCTGACAGATTGACTACAACTCACAGACATCCTGTGGATAACAGATTTGAACCCTATTCTATCCTAAGTCATTCTCACCGTCTCATACACTTGAGCCCAATACTGCAGTCACTGTCTCTGTCGGTCTCATGTAATGGGAGCAGCTGCTGTCAAGGACTTCTCGAAGTTACTGAGGAGCGATGATAACAGTTTAAAGACTAAGGTGCATCTGATTCAAGCTATCATGTTTTCAGTCTCTTACTATGCATCTGAGAGCTTGACAGTGAGTAAGGATGATTAAAGAAGAATCAATGCCTTTGAATTGTGGTGCCGGAGAAGAGTATTGACTCTCTGATAGAGGGTCAAAAGGACAAGCAGATATGTCTTGGAGAAAGTGCAGCCAAATGCACCTTGGAGCCAAGGATCATGAAACTTCACCTCACCTACTTTGAGCATGTAGTTAGGAGGTGACATTCCCGGTGAAGGAAAATCAACAAAAGAGAGGAAGACTCTCAAAATGTATAGAGGTATTTAAGTTGCTTCTCTGGGTCTAAGTAGGGATCCACAACATCATTCCACTAAATACAAATTTTGGAAGAAAGATGTAGATTATTTATTAAAATTAATGGAGGTGTATTATTTTTAAGATTAAAATGCATTGTTTATAAATATTGAATTCTTTTTTTTTAAAGTGTCATTTGTGTGTGTGTGTGTGTGTGTGTGTGTGTGTGTGTGTGTGTGTGTACCATCAAATTGGATCCAATTGGTACAGGAGGAGATTGCCCCTTCTACTCCAGCAAAGCACCTGGTGGATTCAAAACACATGCCTTCCAGATTGCAGCACAACTTCTTGCCACTAAGCCACCGGAGCTCCCTTAATAGTGAATTCTTGTACCAAAACTGAGTCCATATTTCTCCTTGTGACAATTCTTTGCCCATAATGAGCAGAATATTAGACATAGTTAATATTCAGCACTTACTGATAAATTAATGGATTTAGGTCTTCAATAAATTAGTGGATTTATGTTTCTTACCACAAAGCCACCAGAGCTCCCATAATAACAATAACAATAGGGAAGCATTTTCCCCCCATAAACTTTATTTTCCCACATAAAGTTTATGTCAAGGATTAGAGAATAACAATCGGGTGGGTATGATAACATACAAGTCTTATCAGAACAGTTACTCTGGAATTAGACTGTCACAGTTCAGATACCATGAGCTTCTGGGTAGTACAGATGGTTAACACACTCAACTGATAACTAAAAGGTTAAAACTTCTAGTCTACCCCAAGGCACCTTGAAACAAAGGTCTAGAGGTCAATTTCTGAACAATCAGTCATTGGCGCTCATGAAGCCTCGTTTTCCTCTGACACGGGATTGCGGTGAGTCAGAGCTGACTCAATGGCAACTGGTACTAATATTTCAAATCCCAGCACTTCCATTTCCCAGTTCTGGAAGTCTTGTCAAGCTGTTTGATCTTTCATTATCTCAGTTTCATCATCAATGAAATTGAGATAATATTATGGGACCTACTTCACAGGGTGGTGGTTGTTGTTGTGTACCATACAGTCATACCCAACTTATAGCTGGCCCTCCAGTGGGTTTTCAGAGGCAGTATCGCACTGGAGATTGTTCAAGCCTTCTCCTATGGAGCAACTGGTGTATTTGAACTGTGTACCTTTGGTATGGCAGTGCAGCTCCTTACCACTGGACCACCAGACCTCCCTAGGTTTAATATCATTATTAAATAATAACTCTTTATGTATAATACTTAAAATGCTGCTATTGTTGTGTACCATCAAATCAGAATCATCTCACAGCTAACCATCCAGCAGTTTTTCTGAAGCAGTTAATTGCACAGAAGGAGATTGTGCACCCCTGGATAGTGTTTAATTCAATAAAATGAAGTTTCTAGACATAAACTCACCTAACCTACCCTGGTGACATAGTGTGTAACATGTTGGGCTGCCAGCTGATAGGCCTGCAGTTAGATTCCAATCGCTGCTAAAGGAGACAAAGAAAGGAAGCCTTCTTCCATAAAGATGTACAGTCTCAGAAATCCATTGGAAGTTTGCTATGAATTAGAAATGACTTGATGGCAATAAGTTTGTAATAGGTTTAACTATTAAGTCATCCAATTCATTCCAATAACCATCAGTGAATACTCCCTTCTCATTGTACTGCTTAAAACTTTATCACCCCCCAGTTTGCATTTCAGAGAAAATGTAGCAACATTTTTATAGAGACATATATTTCTTTCTATATATTTGTGGACACCCTCTCTTATTCAGACATTATCCAGTCTCAGGAATAAGATATTCTTATTCCTTCAGCATATACTTTTTTGTCCTTATTAGATGGTCAACTACAGTTGTTGATTAAGTCAGTCTTGAGTAACCATCCATTGTTGAAATTCAAGATTAATACTAAATCCTAGTGCACATTATAAGGACACCGTATAAATTCACCTTCCATGAACACTTGAGCACATTGGTTATTCATAGAAGTGATGCAGGGTGGATGAAAGAGCATGAGCTATGTGCCCTTGGGCTGGTTACTTTACCTTGCTAAAGCCTGAGCTTCTTTGACGATAAAATGAGATAATTTTTCTTTCCTTTGTGATTATATTGATGATAATATGAGAATCTACAAAGTACCTGACCCTTAAAATGTCCTTATTTAGTGTACTTTTCATTTTATATTCTTGTAATATAATTCATATAACTTCTTTCCCCCTAGTATAACAATAAAAAAAAACCTGTTAAATTTCAAAGAGTAGTTTGGAAACCTATCTAAATTATTAATTTAAGCTTATGATTAAAACAGCATCATTGTGCATTCAACTATATTATAACAGTCCGTTTCTCTTAACAAAACACTGTCTTGCCTTTCAAACAATTCACATCTTAGTGCTTAACATAGTGTAAAATCTAGGTTCAAAAATGTGGGTCACAACTTATTCGGTTTCCAAACTTGGTAATGGTTGTTCTTGTTATGTGCTGTTGAGTCACCTGCAACTCAGTTACCCTATGTCCCCTCTGAACTCTGCTCTATTCTGACCCAGTTACCCTGTCTCTGACACACCTATCCTTTTTACCCCAGTTAGTGTATGAATCCATCTCATCTGCAGTCTTCCTCTCCTGAGCTATCCTTCCACCCTTCCAAGCATAATGTTCTTCTCCGAGGACTGGTTCCTCCTGGCCACATGCCCAAAGTATGTGAAACAGAGCTTCAAAATCCTTGCCTCAGGAATAATGATGTCAGTTTGAGGACTAAGGTATGTCTGATATCTTTCTGATTACTTGCTGTCTACCTGAGAGCTGGACAGTGAATAAGAATGACAGAAAAAGAACTGACACCTTTGAGCTGTGGTGTTGGAGAAAAGCACTGAACATTCTTTGGAGGGTCAAGAAAATAAACAGATATGTCTTGGAGAGGGTGCAACTAGAGTGTTATTTGGAGGCAGGAATAATGAGACTTCACCTCACAAATTTTGGGCTTGTCGCTAGAAA